CGCTGGGGTGTTTACCATTTGTCAATTGTGCTGTTATGGGTTATCTCCCAGCTTACCTTGCAAACAAGAGTGCTGTTCAGCTGTGTCTCGAAAATGTAACCAAGGGGAATCCAGTTCAGAAACCGTAGTAGGGTCTACCACAATAGAAAAACAGGATATGAATCAAAGAATGTCATGCTTGCCAGTCTGGCTCATCCTTATTTTAAAATTGATCTTAACAGACCTTTTTGTTCTGAAAATTTCATTGTGACACAACAAAGCATATGACAAATTCACAGTGTGCCTTTAAAAACAACACAAAAAAACAAAAAAAACAAACCAAAAAAAAAAAAAAAAAAACAGTACACATTCTGTAACTTAAAATAGCAACTACCATCATCTAATGCCCTCTTTAGAATGGAGCCTACTAACCTCTAGTGTAGCACCAATAAGGGTGACATTTTGAGAGTTGCCCTGAACAAGAAAAAATTCCAATATTAATTTTTTTTTTGAAGAGATCATGCTTTTAAAATAAATCTAGTAAAGGTTATTTACCACAGCAAGTCACCTGCATAAATAATTTGCAAAAGAATTATTTCATAAATCATGTCTAAACAGAAACAGACTTCATGGGAAATATTCTCAGAGAGCCATAAAGCAAATTAACAGCTGTACCGGGAGTCTCCTTTCACAGTAGATGATGTTATAAAATGAATTCCAAAATGTAAGAATTAAGTCCACAACTTACCAAAACAAATTGGCAAAGGGTAAATATCTGCAAGAATTCACTACACATGCTGCCAAATTAAAAAATATATTTGCTAATTATTTCATGGTATTTTCAGTGAGATGATATAATGGTGACAACAAAAATTACTAACCAGGGCTCGACACTAACACTAGCCAATTAGCCACAGACTAGTAGAAATTCAGTTTTGGCGAGTGATTTTTTATTTCCACAAGTTGAAAAGTTAGTGTCGAGCCCTGCTAACAGTTGTGGGACTAAGGTGGAGATTGAGAGTTTCAGTTTCCAGGCACTCATGGTTAAGGTAGACAGCTTTTACATAGGTTCTGATGTTATAGCTGACAGTGCCCTGGTAACCCACTCATGAGATTGCTAACAGTAATTTGAAGACAGTTTACCAAAACACAGGTAGAGCAGAGGAGAGAGGAAAGGAAATCAGCAGTATTTATTGTTATGTCTGATGGAATTTATGTCACTGCACAATGGAAAATTACAAACATGGTAACTAAACAAAAATCAATTTTCTTTCTTACCTGTCCTTTAAGTGTTTTGCCTTTGTTTGTGTCATCTGACCACTGGAGAAGTCAAAAACTTCCTCACTGAAAGAAATAAAAATAACTGAAAGTCCACAGACACCACAGAAATAAGAAATCAGAGAAAGCTGCTTAGGCTCAACTGAATCAGAGTGAGGCTGTGTTGGGAAAAGAGGCAAGACGAAAACAGTTTACTTTTAAAGATAAACTCTCTGGTAAGAACTGCAATCAAGAAAAAAAAAAAATGTTTGCAAGACCTTGTTGAACCCAAAAGTGAGCAATCAGGACTACTGCNCATGGTTAAGGTAGACAGCTTTTACATAGGTTCTGATGTTATAGCTGACAGTGCCCTGGTAACCCAGTCGTGAGATTGCTAATAGTAATTTGAAGACAGTTTACCAAAACACAGGTAGAGCAGAGGAGAGAGGAAAGGAAATCAGCAGTATTTATTGTTATGTCTGATGGAATTTATGTCACTGCACAATGGAAAATTACAAACATGGTAACTAAACAAAAATCAATTTTCTTTCTTACCTGTCCTTTAAGTGTTTTGCCTTTGTTTGTGTCATCTGACCACTGGAGAAGTCAAAAACTTCCTCACTGAAAGAAATAAAAATAACTGAAAGTCCACAGACACCACAGAAATAAGAAATCGGAGAAAGCTGCTTAGGCTCAACTGAATCAGAGTGAGGCTGTGTTGGGAAAAGAGGCAAGACGAAAACAGTTTACTTTTAAAGATAAACTCTCTGGTAAGAACTGCAATCAAGAAAAAAAAAAAATGTTTGCAAGACCTTGTTGAACCCAAAAGTGAGCAATCAGGACTACTGCCGAACCTTGATTATCCAGACTCGTTGGGACTAGACGAAATAGTTCGGATAATAAAGGGTCCACATAATGGAGAATATGAATATTAATGAGGAACAAAACTGATTAAATTAAAAAAAGTGACAAACTAGTTCCTTTTTCTCTTTTCTCTAGTAGAAAAACTGTAGACTGTTTATCTTTTATCGAAAGAATAGAAAATAAATAAAGTTTATCTTGCCCACCATATCAAACAAGCCAATAGGGCATTAAACCTCACTTAGAAATAAAACAACTCTAAGCCAATCAGACCTCATTTGAATGTTCTTCATACAGTTGCACACGAGCACTGCTTTTGCCTTTTTAAAGCAAAACAAATTCTCCTTTACTTCACCATTCAACACTGTATTTTTAAAAAGAATACGGCTACAGATCTTGATCATGACTAATAAATATTCATGACAAAATTGGGACCAGAGAAAAAGTCAGGAGGACTGAGAAATCTGGATAATCAACGTCCAGACAATTGAGGTTTGACTGTACTTACTTCTGTCTTCATATTTCTATGTGGTTACTAGGTTCACTTTCAACAGAATTAATAACTGAGTTTGTGCATAATTTAATTTCAGATTTTCATTTGTTCCTGTAGTTAAGGATCATTCTAGTCTTATCAAAACAATATTTGCATATGATTGTGTTAAAGGACCTTCAACAACACCAAGAAATCTTTAAATATATGTAATATCAAATTGTGATTAAAAGTAATCTAAAATTACACAATCCTTCAAATTTAATTTTAAGTGGTTGCACAGAAACACTTACCTGAGAAGTTTAAGAATCACGATGTTGTTTTCGCATGTTTTCATATGCAATCATTTGCATATGATTGTGTTAAAGGGCCTTCAATAACACCAAATCTTTAAATATCTGTAGTATCAAATTGCGACTAAAAGTAATCTAAAATTGTACAATCCTTCAAATTTAATTTTAAATGGTTGCACAGATAAACACTTACCTGAGAAGTTTAAGAATCACCATGTTGTTTTGGCAAAGAGACTCGTTTGCCTTACTCGCACCAACTATGTCGCCCATAAAACTTGGCCATTTCTTGGGCCATTCATGCTTCAAAATCTACAAAACGTATGAATTAGAAGTAACCACAAGATAAAAATAGAATATAAAACACGTCTTCTTAAAAATGCCACATTTCAACAAACAACAATTCATTAAAACATTTTTAATATTTAAAACACTTTCAAATAATAATTGACTATTTGCCAAATCAGGCATAAGCTAAAAATAAGATGCTGCATAATAGTGCTTAATATTCAATGCTGAAGCAAGCTGTAAATGCATGCAATCCAAACCTTTGGGACAAGGGACAATATCAAGTGGTCAATTTTAACGGTACTCAAATTCGACTAAAATGTGAGCTTTAACGCTCCTGGTAAAAAGGGTATGTCTGGCAACCCGCCAGTTGGTTCCTTTTACCCATAAACACCTGTCATAAACAGCATTAGCTGACTAAATAATCAATGTTTTTGATAACTTAAAACTTAAACTACTGCAGATGTCGTTTGCACAAACGAACAAAACATTCTTCTGCTGAAATTAATGTCACTACTACGACTGACCACTGAAAATCGCATTCTAAATGTGAATATTTTGGCGGGAATCACCCTTGAAATGGTAAACGGGCACTTGACTACACATACCTCCACTAAAATCATATTCAACTTTCCAATATATGTCTTTTCTTTCTGAAAATGGCTATAAAAAATAAGTTTATTTTAGAGGAGACTGAAAAAATTCGCTGCGAAGACAGAGTAATAGACAATGTCACGCGAAAACAAAAAAACCAACTTAGTAAACAACATACACACCTCCAACATATCGCCTTCAGACGATATCTTTATTATGAGCCCTACCATATATTTCTTAATCCCTGAAAAATGTAAAATCAAAATCTTATTTTACCGCATGAAAAGGATTTCTTTAATTGGTTTCGCTGTCAAATTATGGAAATGATAATTTGTCTGCCAGACTTATAGTAAACTTCCTACTTGCTCACTAACCTTCGCACTGCTCAGACGGAAGAACTTTCCATCGCGTTTTGATAACTGATTCGAGTATTTGGAGTGCGAAATACTGGAACAAGAAGAATAAGAATAGCTTAAAAAATATCAATTTTAAGGAAAATCCCAAATTGAAGCCTGTCACCCACCTTGGTCTGCTGGTTATTTGAAAATTCGAGTATTGTATCTACTCTTGTCCAGGCGTCCGGGTGCTGTTTCAGTTGAGTTAGGATCTGGTCTGCCATTCGTTGCTGATGAAGCGAAAAGTAATCCGTCAGTCAGAGAGCCATTTTCAAAATCTGCACATGATACAGTCATAAAATGAACGGAAAATATGTATGAACCTGCGGTCCCTGAGCCATGTAAAAACACGAGACAACCGAGTCTAGTAAAGTTATATCGAGTTTTTGCGTAAAATCCAGCAGCTGCGTGGCATGCTCTATGGTTGCCATTGCTGTAGGCATTGGAGCAAATGGATAGACCACGAGAAATAAATATAATCTGGATTTTGATGTAAAAAAATACGGGAACAATTTTCAATGCGACCTTCTCAGAGCACTGTATGAGTGTATTAGCGAACACCGTGGCCAGTTTGCACCGCTTTTCCCGGTTTAAACCAGTCATATTGCTAGAAAAGCCCGGATGTAACAGGTTTTGGAGCCTTTTCTCTTTCTCTTTCTCTGAAACATCGTTGATGGAATGAATCAGTATTGAAATCTCTTACTCGTGATCACTACAAAAAAGGAATTTTTCATTAGATATTACGTTTCTGCTTATGTAACATTTATAGAATATGAGCAATCGAAGGTTCTTGAGTCGAAGGGCGATCGACCGACATGCCGTTGTTTTCGAAGCCAAAAATAGTAAAATTTGACAATTCAGTGACCTATTTCCGCTCTTTTAATAGTAAAATCCCATTCACGAACGCGGCACGTGCACCTCTCATGAATTAATTAAGCCTGCCTCGTTTACGTGTACGGAAGCGCAAGCGTTCGAAACTCGTCTGATCCATAGTTATCGCACGTAGACTTTATGCTTTGTGTAGAGGACTTTAGCCCGACGTTTACCCAAATGGCAAATTGCAAGGAATCAACTTTTGCATAAAGAAATGTAAGAGAAATCAGCAATAAATTTTTTCCGTACGTTTATGCACGAAACGTGACTTTAAATTTGTTTTCCTTTTTCGTCTCACAGCAAAAGTATATACTTAAGAGAAAAGAAATCTTTTGCCTATGAACTGTAAATCTTATTTTATCAAATCCAGATCTTCATTCAATAAACAACTAAAAATAGAAGACCTCTAACAGAGAAAACATTTCAAAGTTACGAAACCTATGTTCTAAACAAGACTATTCGTGGCAGACGGGAATGACAGGAAGATCAAGTCGACTTCCGGTCTTATCTCTGCATGAAGGTGCGCTAGGTTAGCAGGGAAGGTTACACCGAGAAGAGAGAAATGAAGGGATGGCGGATAAACCATGATAGTTTTTCACAAGAAAAAGACCATAATATATCACAAAAAAAGAAGCGGGAAATACAACCAGCTGAAAGAGGTTGACTAAAGGTATATTCGATCAGTATGATTGTCCGAAAGAACACTAAAATGACCGAACAGCGCAGACCGTTGCGAGAATGAGATAAATATGCGTTCTTGTAATCGACGGGTGTAAGTTTCTTCTACCCGTCACATTTCTTTCGAATGGTTGACATTTAATGTCGAGAAAAAAAAAAGTCGAAACATAGTACGGTCATCAGATTCGAACTTTAAAATGCGTCAACTGCTCAGGTAGGAATCCTAAAGAAATATTTGAGAGAGTTATACTATGTCTCAGTGTTTGAGCTAAACACATGGTGGGGTCAGATGTTTATGGGAAACTCTAATATAATTGTCCAGACGTTATCGTCTAATGCATCTGTCTTTTGATTTGTTTTTGGCGCTGATCGATTAGAGTCCCAGGTATCCCCGAAACGTGGAACATTATCTCCATGATATATTGTCAAGTTCGTGAAGTTTTGTTGATTATGATGGGGTGTATTTGTAACTTAATTCCTTCTTCGCTTTCCGTACATTGATGTATAATTTAATTCAGTCTTCTACTTCTAATTCAATGAAGCATGTCCTGATGAAAACATTTTAAACATTTGTCAAAAGTTGACTTGGAAATGAGCTTGTGTAATTATTAAGGGGAAGTGATTCTATTTTGTCTCCTTTTGCAGTCATCATACCGGAAAATTTCGAAACGAACCTTGATCATATAAATAGTTCAAGTTGTGCTGTGGAGAAAAAACAAAAAACTAACTTAGAGCACCAAAAAAACAACATATTTAGAACTCAGTTAAAGGAGTAACAGTGCACTTTATTCAACTGCCAAACTTATGCAGTTGTTGGCATCAACCCAATCCTTTCCAGAAATAAAATTTTTGTTTGTTAAATATTCCATCATGGCCAAAATTCATCACCACAGCACAATAACTGGATGTCATTTTTCACATCCTCACTGTTGCAGACCCTGAAAAGCCCAGAGTAACAAAGGCAAAATTTTGTTGTAAACCAGATCTCAAAAATATTTCTTTTGCAGTTGGTTCTGCTCTTTTTGTTATGGATTTGTCAGTAGAGCAGGAAAGTCTTGAGGCAATTGGCTCAGAAGCATTTCCAACATCCCCTGAGATCCTCTCAGAAGAGTCGCATTCTTTAATAGCGTGTTCATCAGATGAGTGCTCAAATGCCGAGACTAAACAAGGTAATGATAGTGTCTGAAAGAGGTGAGCTACATCAGTCAAGTAAACGTGGTATGCTTAGGTCATGGCCCAAGAAGCAGAAATTATGATCTTGGTTTCCTTTGCTAAAAGAACATATATTTAGTACTGCTACCCCCTTCCTCTCCTTAGTAGTGATCCTGTCCCGGGCTTCAACTCCAATCTTGTTTTGTCACCGTTAACCATTTAACCCCCTAAAGCGATTAGCATCTAATTTCTTCTTACAATACCACCCTTGAATCACACATCAAGGTCACAAGAATAAAGGAAATGATCACCAACTAAAGAAGATAAAAATTATGTTAAATAAATTCCCCTTTTCAGAACCAAAGGAAATTTATAGAGAACAATATGGAGAATATGTATATAATTTGATATCAGGTTGTAAAGGGTGAAATTTATTGTTTAATTAAATTTTATTATTTACACATGTTTACATCCATTCTGTTTTTGCTTCTAAGGATCTGGATTGTCTTCCAGTTGTTCCTCGGATGTGGTGGAGTCTATTCCAAATGACATTATAAATGATGCAGGAAATGACGAGGAACAGTGTGTCACCATTGCAACAGATACCATCAACTGCAGCTCCCCACAAGTGTTACATGACAGAGGTGAAGAGACAGATGCAGACGATACAGGTATACACCTAAATCAGCCTCAAGTTTACATTCATTGTCTATTGTTTTGGTAATATTAAATTTGTTATAATAATTATTATTGATTTCACATTTGCTTATGAAAAAGAGAAATGCACTATTTCTGACTTTCAAACAAGTCTTTCGGTAACATTTCTGTGTTCTGTTTTTTTTGTTTTTTTTTTTTGTTTTTTTTTTTTTTTTTTTTCATCACAAGGTTTGCTGTACATTCAAAACTGCAGCTCACCAGAGGAAAGTCAGCAAACTCATATGCTCGTGATACCCAGGTCAAGGGAAGCAACCAAGTAAGCACTTGATGTTTGGACCATCTTGTTTTCAAGTTTTTTTATTTGCTCTCCTCTGCAGTGTTGATTTCAACCCAGGGGTTTCAATCAGTTTTTAACCCTTAAACTCCCAAGATCTGATTGTTAATTCTCCCCTCTAGCTGCTACACATTTCCTTGAAAATTAGTTATGAGAATTTGGAGTTAGATCAAGATAACAACTTTTACCTGATAAGTTTGAGTATTCTCATTACCTGTCTGCTGGATAATGTGTGGATGTCATAGGGAGAAGTTTCATAGTAATAGTAATAGTAATAGTAATCAAAGTTTAATGTCTTTACGTGGGGCATGGTTACCCATATTGCC